TGATAATGTGGCTCTAAACTGTGCTGTGGCTCTGGTGTGGAAAACCAAACAGAGTTTCTAAAGAACCAGTTAAAAGCTGCACCAGTCCTGGTGAAACGCATTATTAATTTTGGTAGAAAATTCTTAACGGTTGAAGTGTTTACAGTATTTCAGGTTTGATTCAAAGAATAAAAATAGAAATCAGAAGATTTTAACCAAAGTAGTATTTTTTTCCTTATGAGTGCTGGTCATACTGGCAATTTAAAGGGCAATACATTAAGAATAAGACTGAAACTATAACTGACTTTTCCAATGTTCAGGTTTAAGCTCAGTTCTTAAAGCTGAACTCCGTAGTTCTTCTGTTTAAGGGACAAAGCGTCAAAATCCTTCTGCAGACTAAGTGGAACACTCGAAGAAATAGCTTTGAAGGCCAGAGAACAGAAACTTTGACTTGTGCTTCAAATACTCATTTATCTCCGTACTTAGTTAATATTTTTACATTTTTCTATTAGCAGTGACAATTTTAACATCTAGTTTTAAGTTTTTCTATATATACTGATTAATAAGTCCTTAATTATTCATATTTTTTTTAATTATATAATTTAGCCATACCGGTGTCTCAGTTTAAAACATATTTTAATGTCAAACTATCTATTTTTTATTGATGCGTTTTTAATTCTCGTAAAAATAATAATTATATCAGATGTATTAGTAGTTTGTTTCAAGGATGTTTTAGATAATTATATCTTGGCTGGAGTAGGCTTTGGTTGGCATATTGGTGATACACAGAATCTAAATAATCATAGAAGGTTTATTTTCTATTTGTGTATATTATGTAAAAATTAGCATTTTTATTCCTAACTTACTTTGGAAATGTCTTATATGGTTTTAATGTTGTTATAGTGTAGAATAATTATTTTTGGATGATGTTTCTGATTCTGAAAGTGTGATGTTTCAACCAATGCCTGAATTAAGGGATAGTAGGAGGTTTGGGAAATCTTTCTTCTGCCTTAAAAAGTAAAATACATACATTTTTTTTAGGGATGCACGATATAATCGGCCCCCTATCGGTATCAGCCTTAAAACTGAATATCGGACATCGGCCACCCCACCGATATTTAACCCGATATTTGATCAGCTTCTGAGTTTCTAAAGTCTAAAAAAAAAAAAAAAATACTACTACTTCTGCTTCAGACTTAAAAACTTCTAAAGACGAGGGAAAAAATATTGATACATTAAAACATCCCAATATCTTCATATGCTGATATATTGCCATTTAAAAACACCAT